CCTCCGGGCTTCCTGCCCTTACCTTACTTTCTTTCTTACCTTCTCTGGGCGTTTCCACTCCAGCCACACAAACAAAATCCCACAGACACCGACACCGGCCAGGGAATCCGGGTCAGGCAGTGTCAGCCCGTGTCATCCAACTAGCGGAGAGCAGTTTAATCTGTGTGTCAGATTAGATCCAGGGTTCAACGTGAATTTCAGACAGGCTATGAGTAATAGTTTGGTGCATGGGTATTCCATGCCATATTTGACAAAAGTGTGTCCAAAACATTGCATGGGGCACACAATTAAAAATTGTTCAGTTTGTCTGAAATTCAAATGGAAGCAGCCATCCTGTATTTCTAGTTGCTAAATCTGGCAGTGCTTATGTGTTACCCTTCTTTTCCTAAATTTCAAACCGGGAATCCTGTATCACTCGCTGCAGCTCCCCCTCCGCCAGCAGTTTCCTTTGTTCACCCTTTTGGGGGAGATTGGCTTCTCTGAGACCTGTTTTCTTTTTAATTTCCCTCCTCCCTGGGTTTTATTTACTTTAGCTAAGTCACCCTGGGTCTCCATTTCAAAGGCTCTCATGTTTTTACTGGAGACTGGGTTGGGGCTGCAGCAGCTTTCAGGAAGGAGGGAGGTTTCTTAAGGATGTCGGAAGGAAATGAAACCTGGGAAAAAAATGCTTGACTTTTTTCTTCTTTCTAAAAAAAAGTCTGTGGGTGGGGCTCTGTTCTGGTCATGGGAGCAGGAACAGCGGAGTCGGGGCCAAAGAGCTCATTTCTCAAGCACCACCAGCTGCAGCCAGTGAGTGACGTCGCTCCAGCTGTGCTGGCTCAAAGGGGCCTCGAACTCCTGTCCCCCAAGGACTGAGAAGTCAGCCAGCGCAGGGCTTCCCAGAGTGCCCAAGAACACAGATCTCTTGGGAAGCATTTACCAATCTCCTGCTGGGGCTGGAGGTGGGATTCAGGTGTCATGTTTTATTTTTTGTTTGTTTTTTGAGACAGGGTCTTACTGTATAGTTTAGGGTAGACTTGAACTCATTTTGTAGCCCAAGCTGGCCTCAAACTCATAGCAATCCTCCTGCCTCAGCCTCCTCAGGGCTGGGATTGTAGGCATGCACCACCATGCCCGGCCTGCAAGATGTCATGATTTAAACAAAGTAGAAAACAATTCTTCAGGCGATTCTATTTCGCAATCCAGTGAACCAGAGCAGTATGCCCAGTATTGCCATCGTTTTAAGACTGTGGCTCAGTGGCGCCCAAGCCTAGCTTCATCACCTTGACCTCAGGGCTAGCCATGGCTGCTGGATCATGTTGAGGAAGATGGAATAAAACAGCAGCTGTAGAAGGTGGAATTGTTGGTCCCTGTGTCCACTTCCCGGTGGCGGCACCAGGGTTACACACCCACCCCTGTTTGTGTCTTAGCTGTGTGGCTTGCTATGGCCCCTAGGATGTGGTCATGATGCAGGTGTGTGAAGGGCCTGGGCTGTGAGGCTTCCTCTTGCGTCCTGTGATTGTACAGGTCATCCTGAGGTAGCTGCTGGTCCCAGATGGATGTGGGACATGCGCCGAGCAGGAACCCATCCTGGGGGTTGGAGTCAGGCCCAGCTGAGCCCGGTTTACATCAGCCAACCTCTACAGATGTCCTTATGTGTTGCTGAGTCCTGCAATACAGGGTCCCGGTCACTTTCTCACCAGGACACCTCCTCTGATCACCTCTGGGGCCTTTGATGACATTCCCAGCATCACTAAGCACATCCTTCCCTATGTTCTCAGGCCTGTGCGTGCTTCTGTGGTGGCACAGAGTACAGCTTCTTCGATACCTGCCTAACAACTTCTGTGCCTTTCTGTTAGGTCACCTCTCACCCGCCCTGCAGTAGCAGCAGCAGAGATAGAGAGACCTGGGGACCTTGGGCTGGGGTGTCGTCTGCTACAAGCACTTTAAAGAAAGAGATTTAATTTGGATCATATTTCAGTCAGCTGAGTCCAAGGTGGGACAGCAGGGCATAGGGGAACGAGGGAGGAGAGCTGCTCCTCTCGGGGTGGTGAGGAAGCGGGGAGAAGGGAGACAGACTCTTCCTGGCCACGCCCCAGCGACTCAGCTCTTCCGACCAGGCCCCCCCGTGGTAATCCAGTCACCTCCCAAAGGCCCTACCTCTGCACACAAGAGGCTTTGGGGGACATCCAGGTATAAACCAAAACACATGGAGGAAACGGTTAACAGATGCAGTTGTATACAAACACCCAGCACAGGGCCTGGCACCATGTGGAGGTCTGCATACCCCGTCCTGCCCCAATCACGATTTTTGGGAGACAGACTCTTCCTGGCCACGCCCCAGCGACTCAGCTCTTCCGACCAGGCCCCCCCGTGGTAATCCAGTCACCTCCCAAAGGCCCTACCTCTGCACACAAGAGGCTTTGGGGGACATCCAGGTATAAACCAAAACACATGGAGGAAACGGTTAACAGATGCAGTTGTATACAAACACCCAGCACAGGGCCTGGCACCATGTGGAGGTCTGCATACCCCGTCCTGCCTCCCAATCACGATCTTTTTTTTTTTTTTTTGGATTTTTTTGAGACAGGGTCTCATAGGTAGTGAGACTGGCCTGGAACTCACTGTGTATCCCAAGCTGGTCTCAAAACCACAGTGATCCTCCTGCCTCAGCCTGCCGAGTGCTGGGATCACAAGCGTGCGACGCCACGCCTGGCTCCCAGTCACATATTCAAAGGTGGGAGCCAAGCTGTCTCCCTGGTTCTTGTCCCTCCCACCGGACTTCCGGGTTGGGGCCTCGAAGTGGGATAGGGCGGGGAAGGGCGTTCCTGTTGGTAGTGGGGACCTCTGTAACAGAGACAGCACCTCCCTGATCCGCCCCTGAAAGCAAGCGTCAATCATCTCTTCTTAAACTTTCCCAGAGCCCCAGCCACAAAGACGCTGCTCGTACCTGTGACTTAGTCTGCTCACAGTGTTGTCTGTTTCCTACCTTCCACTTTCCATCTGCCTTCAGCAATGATAATTCTAATATAATAGTTGACATTTTCATTCAACTGCATATCAGGCGCCGTTGCTTGACCTCAATATTTGATTAAAAGCCAACACATCTAAGAACTTGTAAAATGTCTAATGATTTTGAGTTTTATGTGATTCAATGTTTCAAAAGCCTGATTAGTTAAAAAATTGTATTTTTAAAAAGTTAACACATTCCTAGCATGTAAGTGATGGGGTCATCCCCATTTTACATATAAGAAAACTTCAGCTGAGAGGTTTGGACACAGTTTAACAATGATCGGGGGGCTCCCCAGTCCCGGGTCCACCTGACCCCAGTGCCAAGCCTTCCCATCCATCCTGTGTGGCCAACTTGGTCTCTAATGAGACTGTAAGGTCCTTAAAGGCGGATGATTACAGCATGAACTTGGGTGCAGTGGCACAGGGCCACTGTTGGTTGACTGGCTGGCTGACGTCCACGGTGGTGGTAGGTGCCCTCTTGCAGAAGCATTCAGCTCTCATCTGCTCTCACCACCCACCTTCCACATGGGGCCAGTGTATCCCTCTGTACTTCTGTGCAGTCTTGGAAGTTCTGTGACTTCCAGAAATAACAATCTATCTCCAAGAATCCTGGCAAGTGTCAGGACGCTTTTGGTTGCAAGCAACAGAAACCTGATTTGGGCTTTGCCTTCATTTCTCTTGCCTGCCCTCCCTCTTCCAAAATCAGCTTTATTTTCAGCTGGCTTCCCCTAGGTTCCGAGCCTGCATGGGCTCCAGATTGCACCGGAGTCCCAGCTTCCAGATGATTGGATCGCCTCTGGCCAGCCACCATGGAATGCCATAGTAATTCCATTTGCTGAATGACTTTCACCTGAGTTCTTCATAGCAGCCTTGTGGCAATGGGGCTGGGACTTTCTGAGCCTAGTTTATACCAGTGAGTGACCCTGGGCTGGGCAGGGTCAGACACGACTTCAGGCCTGTCTCACAGCCAGGGAAGAGTAGGAGAAGCCACCCAAGCCCACAAGGAAAGTGCTGTGCAGAGGAAGAGAAGGAGGGGGAGAGCAGGGACTGTGGGAGGGGCCCAGACAGGTCCTCTCTGTGATTCTGTGCTGCATGAGGAGCTGTCCCCTGGCCCTGGCTGGGTCCAAGGGGGATTTTCCAGAACAGATCCCAGAAGAAGGACTCATGAGCTTGTGATTTATGATGGAAGTGATCCTGGGGAGGGCTGGGGGCTCATGAATGAAGCAGGCCAGGCAGCGAGGAAGCCACAGGAAGGTGGACCCCACGCACATCCCCTGAGGGTGGCTTCCGCTTGACCCTGTGGTAGGAGACCCGGGGTGTACAGACACCTCAGAGTTGCCTCACATGAGGCCAGGGACTGTGGGTCGTGGGCAGAATGTAAGTTCCAGGTACCTGGAGCTCACTGTCCCCCTCCAGGGGTCTCTGGCGCTCCAAAAGCCCAGGGGCACCTTGTAGAAACAATGGACCTCAAAGGAGAAGGAGTGGGGTGCACAGAAGGAAGAAGGGCCGAAGGGACGGTGTGGAGAGCTGACACCCCAGTGCAAGCTGGGTCTCATGGGCCCACACTCATCCACCATTCAGAGGCCTTGAATGCTGCCCTCAGCCAAGAGTTTGCCCACAGATGTGTTTTGTGTGTGGGCCGTGCTATGCTGACTGCTGAATGCTCCCAAGCTTCTGCATTCGCTGCCAACATTGAAATCACAGGCATTTTTATATAAAAATCCAGACCTCTAGCTCCTCTGGAAAAAAAAATCACATCATCAGATGTCCACAGGGGCCGTAGCCTGTGGGCGCCACACAGTCTGCCAACCTGAGCAGTGCCCCTGGTGGCCCCACTGTGCTCTACAGTGTCACAAACACATGCAGGAGGGAGACAAGAGAGAGAAGTATTTTTTTCTACCCACTTCTGTAAAGTGGAGGGAAAATCGGTGGTCTGAGGATGGTTGATGTGGATACAGACTACGCCCTAGTCCCGGGTGCTCCCACCCCTGCCTGTGAGCTGTGCCCCCCGTCAGCTCCCGCTTTCCCAGTGTGATCCAGCTGTTCCACTCCCCTACGCCTCTTGCATTTTGTTCAAGGCAGCTGTTTTCCCCCTTCCAACTCTGCAAATGCTGATTTCATCTCTTTCCCGACAAAAGTTTGAAGCCAGGGGAAAATGGCTTGGCAGGAAGTCAGTGTGCAGTGGGGGGAAGAAGAGACGTGTCGTGGAGCAGGCAGAGGCCATGTGGGCCGGTTGTGGGGCCTGAGCACCAAGGCTGGGGCCAGGCCTTGAAGACCCCAAGAGGTGAGAGGCCCCCCAGGTCCCTGGTCCACACGGGGCTCTGCGGGACCCATTCTTTGGGTTACTTGAGGGCATTTCGACTGAGGGGAAGGCAGGGAGCTCTTTTCTCCACGTTTCTCTGCCATGGAGCCTGGAGGGTGGAGAGGCTGGTTGATCGGGAGGGGTGCCCTGGGGCCACCGCAGGATACTGGACTGCCCCAGCTCCATCCACAGGCAGACTTGAATACATAGGTCACATGTGGCATGATCAAAATATACAGTGAATGTTTACATTAAAAAAAACTATTACATTAAAGGACACATGGCCACGAATCGCCTCCACCAAATTTTCCTTTCCTGAGGTCCCCCAACCACCCACCCCCAGCCAGAGCATTGCTTTTTTTTTTCTTTT